TTCTGCGTCTGCAGGTTTACAGCTCCCAAGGAGCTTGTTCCCCCTCACTGCGGGGAGTGCTCCTTCCTCCTCCTGCTGCCAAGCGCGCTGCCACAGCATGGCGCGGCACGCATCCACGGCATGCACGAGCTTCGAGCACCAGTTGTACGACAGCTTGAACTCCGGAAACACTCCCACCAGCGGCCCAATCCGCCTCGCCACCTCGATAATCACCTCTTTCCGCATCACATACTGCACCCTCGCGCTTCCCCTGCCTCTCCCAGCAGGCAGCGCAGCAGTGGAAGAGGGGAGAGCAGGCCAGGAGAGCTGCTCCCAGTAGATCTTCACGGCTGCACCAATGTCCTCCAGCCACCGCGCCAGTGCCACCTCCAGCAGCCGCACCGCCTTGATGCGCGGCCTCTTCAGCATCTCCACTCTCAGCCCTGGCGGCAGCTGCAGCCAGCGGCGGCGCTCACTGAGGATGGCAAACAGCACGCCCGGGCTCAGCTGCACGTTCCACGCCTGCTTCACTGCTTTCAGGATCGACTTCAGCCGCACACCTGGGCGACCCTGCATGACGAGGCACAGCGCACGCACGCGGCTGAGCGTGATCCCTTCCAGTACCACAGGCCCCTCACCTGCCCCCTTGCTGCGCTTGTGCCGTGGGGGGCGCCACACGCAGATGAGCCCCTCTGCTTCGTCCTTGTGCCCTCTTGCGCCCTCCTTTTCCCCTGCTGTGTGCTTGGCTTGCGCAGGCGGAAGCTGTGAGGAGCAGGCAGAGGCGCGAATGAAGAGTGGGTGAGTGGGCAGCATGCTGCGGTAGTTGGTGCCCATGCATGCCACGCGACGGGAATACCGCTGGCCCCACAACGTCATCAATCCGCCCTCTGCCCTATTCTCCTCCCCACCCTCTCCCCTCTTCTCTCCTCCTCCCTCTGCCCTCTTCTCCCCCTCTCCCTCTGCCCTCTTCTCTCCCCCTCCCTCTGCCCTCTCCTCCCCCTCACCCTCTACCCTCTTCTCCTCCCCACCCTCTACCCTCTCCTCCTCCCCACCCTCTCCCCTCTTCTCCTCCCCACCCTTTCCCCTCTCCTCCCCCCCACCCTCTACCATCTCCTTTCCCCCATCCTCTACCCTCTGTCCCCCCCCACCCTCCACACCTCGCACACCGCCCACACTCTCGCGCCTCTCCCCACGTGCCTCCTCCCCTGCGCCCATGCCACACCCCGTGGAAGCGCGTCTGCGCGGGCCCATGCGGGTGCTCATGACGTCGAGGTGCGTTGCCCACACCATGCTGCCGCGCCCCACGGGTCCCTTCACAAGCACCTCCGAGTCCACCACCGCTTCCTCCACCACATCTCGCCGGAACTCCCTCACCGTCTCCCGCGCTGCGCGCTCTGCAGCACCCAGCACCGCGTCAAAGTGCCGGTCCCCTATTTCCACCTCCACTAGCCTCTCCTCTCCCCCCCTCACTCCCGCCTTCCTTCCTTTATATAACTTCGCTCCTTCGTCGCTCTCCTGCGCCCTCTCCTCCTCACTGCCCTCCTCACTCTCATCTTCCTCGCTGCTTGAGCTGCCACTCTCGCTCTCCTCACTGCCCTCGCACTCGCCGTCCTCCCACCCAGTCACCCATGTCTTTCTCGCCCAATTTATGTCCCAAGTATTTGCTTGAGCCTTGTAGACAGCCAGCCTGTTCCAACCACTTCCCTTCTGCCCCTTCCTTGCATCCCGCACACCACTAGCGCCGTAACCACCACCACCACCACCACCACCACCACTACTTCCACCACCATTGCCACCACCACCCTGCAAAGTTCTCTCACCTTCCCTGCCCTGCTGCGAAGGCCGTTTATCAACCCCAGCACAAACCACGTTCATTTCGCCACAGCCATCACCACCAGCATCCCGCACACCCCCAACTTGCCCATCCTCGTCCGCCTCTACTTTCACCACCACCCCCTGCGTTGCACTCATATCCCCTCCCCGACCCACAGCTCCCGCGCCCTTGCTACCTCCCTTCCCCACTCCGCCCTGCCTCCCATCCTCATCCCCACACTCCTCACTCTCGCTCTCACTCTCCTCCCCTGCCCCTTCCGTCCCACCCGGAGCCCGCTCAGTGAGCGGCAGCAGCAGCAGCCCATAGCGCCGCATGAACGCCGACACCCATTTCTGCGTCACAGGGGCCTTCACCCCCGCCAGGTACTTGGGCGCGAGGGCATGCGCGCGCGCGAGAATGCGCTCCACCGTCGCCTGCCGCTTCTTCTCTTGCTCCTCCCGCAGCACCCACATCGCCACCTCGTCCTCCAGTCGTACCAGCTCCATGCTGCCCGCGGGGGTGCCGCCCGCCTTGATCCACTTGCGCTGCTCGCGCGCGATCTTTTGCACCTTGCGCGGGGACACGTCCACGCCGTGCTTGGCGAGAACCACGGCGGAGATCACACTGGCGCTCACGTGCGGCCGCAGACACCGCAGCACCGCGATCTCGTACTTCACGCGCACGTCCATAGGCGCCCGCGCGCCCTGCGCCGGCAGCGAGAAGCTCGTGGGTCTGTTCTTGGAGCCCAGGAATGGGTGCCTCCACTTCCCCTCCGCACCACTCCCTTCAATGCCTGCTCCTTCGCCAACTTGTGCGTTACCACCCCGGCCATCCACGCCACCCCTAATATCCCCGCTCCCGCCACCACCACCATCAATCTGAAGTCTTTCGCTCGCCCCCTCTGCTTCCTCGTTACCGTCACCAAACATTTTTTGTAAACCCCCCACGTTTCCACCTCCAACCCTTCCTCCTCCTTCCCTTTCGCCTCCCCGTTCCACTCCTATTCCCCCGTCGTCTCCTCCCCTTCCCTCTCCTCCTCTCATTCCCCCTGCTTCGCAACCTCTATCCTCCTCGCGCTGCTCCGCGTCCACTAGTCGATCGTCCACAGGAGCGGAACATTTGTAACTCGGGTCAATAGCTGTGTCATATTTTTTAAGGACTTCAGGTTGTGTGGAAAATATGGAGCACATTCAGGTTGACAATTCGATGTGCACTTGAGGCATCGACAAGGCTTCAGTTCAGACTACAGACGGAGTGGCGTGTTTGAAGGTTGTTTGTGGGTAGAGAAAATTTGTTGTTCGTGCCAGCGTACAGCCATGGGAGTGAGGAAGAAGAGTTCACTCCAGCCAGACACCATCGCATTCAGTAGCAACATAGGGCTGGGAGGGGAAGGAAACCCTAGATTGGTACGTTTCGCATCTAGTTTCCTTATCGCACACGTGGCTTCATGATTCTGGATCTCTTGTATGGTCATGCCACGTCACGGGAGGGTAAGTTGCATCTCGCTTGGATTGGACAAGCTAGGAGTGATAGAACATCTGATGAGTGGCGGGATGAGTGTTTTCACGAACAACATCACAGTAGGCGGAATGAATGACAAGGAACGTTGAGGCAGAGCGGCTATGCGTGTGAGCACATGGTTGTTGCATGCAATTACCCTTGTCCAGACAATCTTGTCGACACCTGCATTCGTAGTGTATAGATCTCCTTACATATTCACACACAGACAAGTTGTTGGGCTGAAACGCCCTAGGATCTTTGTAGAGTTAAAGTCTGAGTAGATGTTGTAATAGCGGAAGCGTTGAATAAAGCTCTTGAACCACCTTGCGCTAGTATGTGAGGGCAAAATTGAGTTAATAAAAGCAAAGAGATACAAGAATATAAATAGATGAGTACAGAGAATATGAAGAGACATTATAGCTAATTTTACTGTTGCGGTTCGATACAGTGCGACTCGGGCAACTGCTCAATGTCGAGTCAGTTGTTTGTCCTTGCTGTCGCGCTGCGTCAGGTCAAAGGTCGCTGCCCTTTGACTTTCCCGTAACCTCCGACGGTTACGTTAACCTCGTTGGTTGACTCGCGCTGCTTCGACTTGAGCTGCTTCGTTTTGTGTCTTGAGTACTGACACGACAGAGGCGCTTAACTTATTTGTTCCCAACACTCCCCTTCACTTCTGGAGTGTCGCTGATGGTGACGTGGCTTTGTCCACTCAGCAGCATGCAGTACTCGAACTTCTGTTTTCCAAGTTTCTTGGTCAAGTAGTCAGCTGCCATCTCGGACGTGGGACAGTAGGATAGATCGAGTTTCCCTTTCTCGATTTCGTCTTTCACGAAGAAGTATCGCAGGGCGATATGCTTCGTTCTGTTCGCGAATCCGCTCTTGTTGGCGATGCGAATTGCGGATTGGTTGTCGCAGAACAAGGTGAAGTTGGGTAACTCGGCTAACTTTGCTTCTTCCAGCAGCTCGCGAAGGTAGAGTCCTTCCTTGGTGGCTGAGCAAAGGGCGATATATTCTGCTTCAGCTGCGGAGAGCGCAATTAGTTCCTGCTTGCTCGATTGCCAGGAAATAGGTCCGATAGGTTCCAGGCGATAGATGTAGCCAGTGCAAGAGCGCATGTTATCTGAGTCGCCGGCGTGATCGGCATCGACATAGCCGATTAGTTTCGTCGGCGTAGTTGTGTCATTGTAGTACGTCAGGCCGATCGTTGCGGTGCTCACGAAGTAGTGAAGAGCACGGTCGAGTTCTGCTAGGTGTTCTGCTTCGGGCCTCTTGAGATAGGTAGCGAGTTGGCTAGCGGAGTAGGACAGGTCTGGGCGGCAGGTGACGGCTGCGAAGAGCAGACAGCCCAGTTTTCGCTGGTAGTCGCGTATTCCGGCGGTCTTAAGTAGGACGGAGTTTCCTTTGCCGTTTCCTGCCGTGTAGCGGTATGGCGTGTAGATAGTAGCAGGTGTGAGTGCGAACCGTTTGGCGATGGTGTCGGCGTACTTCTCGGTGCTGAGATAGATCGCATTTTCTTCTTCGCGAATGTTGAGCCCGAGATACTGAGTGACGGTAGTGGAGACCGTGAGTGTAAGGTCCTTTTTTAGCTCCCCTTCGAACCAGGTAGCGATGTCGTCGGTAGAGCCGATGTAGAGTAGATCGTCGACGTAGACAATGAGCAGGATGTAGTTGGCGCCTTTGGTGAGTCGATACATGCCTTGATCGTGAGGTAGTTGACGGAATCCGATGCGGATGAGGCGGGTGTGTAGGTGCTGTTGCCATAGTCGTGGGGCCTGTTTGATACCGTAAAGCGATTTTAGTAGTTGACAGACCTGATTGGGTTCCCCGTGAGTACCGTGAGGGAGCTCGACGAAGATTTCGGCGTCGACGGGTGCGTAGAGGAAAGCATTAGCGACATCGATTTGTCGCAGTTTCTTCTTCTTCATGGCGGCGATCGCAAGGAGGATTCGGAGAGAGGTGTGTCGGCTAACCGGGGCGAATGTCTCGGTGAAGTCCCGGCCTTGTTCCTGATCAAATCCTCGCACGACCCATCGTGCCTTGAACTTCTCGATTGTGCCATCTGCTTTCGTTTTGATGCGGAAGACCCACTTCCCCGTAAGAATGGTCTTGTTTCTTGCTATGCTTGCTGGAACGACTTTCCAGGTGTTGCGTTCCTCCAATGCTTTTAACTCTCTGTCCATGGCTTCACGCCATTTCTCCTTGTGTTCCCCCCCCAGAGCCTGTTGAACTGTCGCAGGCTCTTTAGGAAGAGAGGAGCCATGGACTGCGGTGACGAGGCCGAGAATCTGCAGTCCCGTCTGTGAGTAGCGGGGGAGTGTTGTGTCCTCGGGATAAGCTGCTTCATCTCCCGCTTCTGCGTCGGGTATGAAATTCGGTCCTACTCTTTCTGCTTCGTTGGTGTTGGCTGTTGCAGGTGTTACGTAACCATTGTCGGGGAAGTGAAAGAAGACTTCGGCGTTGGCACTTTCGCGATGATTTTCTTCGTCCATGGGGACGTTGACGGAGCAGAACGGGAGAGGTCCGGCTTCTTCAGATGCGTTGTCGACGTTCTGCTCGTCCCAGTCTGCTTCGTCTGCTGCTGAGGCGAATGCTCGGTCACCACGAAAGCCACCTGTGGGGTCCTGATTCTCGTGCAAGTTGGCGAGGTACGTCTGAAGGGTGAGGCGTTCGTAGAAGATCACATCACGTGCTGCTACTGTTTCTTTTGAGTGGACGTCAAAGATTTTCCACGCGTTGTAACTCTTTTCGATGCCGAGGTGTAGTCCCCACTGTGCGCGTTGTGAAAATCTTCCCGCTCGTGCCTCAGGGGGTCGGTACTGTACCATGTGTCAGAGGTCCACTGGTGATCCCCGATCGATCCTAGGGAAGGGTTACAGGCACGTTTGCCTGGGGGGTTATGGGCGCACTGACCCGCTACTGAAACAAGCCCTTTTATCCCAATGGTCTAGTGGTTGGGATTCCGAGACCATGCACCCAAAAACTCGTAACATTTTTGTGCTGCCCTGCTTCCCTGTCCACAGCAGATGCGGTGATGCGTTGTTCGGGAGTGAGGACGACGACATCAAGTTGTGCAGCATGACAGCGTGGTCCATTGGTGCAGGCCACTGGTGGTTGGGTAGCCGCATGCCATGTAACAGTTTGCGCATGCTGTTCTGCAGAGTCCTGTTCATTCGTTCTGCGACACCTTGCTGCTGATGGGCGTATGGAAGGGAGAGGAGTTGCTTGATTCCTCTTTCCGCCAGGTACTGCTTGAAGCGCTGAGAGGTGTATTCTCCTCCTCCGTCTGACTGGAAGCTTTTCAGCTGTGCTCCCGACTCTCGTTCTGGTACTGGTAGCCAGGCGGCGAACGCTGCGAGTGCCATGTCGCGGCTTGGTAGGTTTAGATGCCAGACATATCGAGTGGCGGCGTCGATGAAGGTAATCGTATAGTTGTAGGTGACTTGTCCTGGTTCGCGATTGTAGAGGATGTCGCTGTACACCTTCTCGAGTGGTGCGTACGCCGGTGCGCTCGGGTTGTGATGAGGAGCGAACGGTCGATGTGGTAAGTCAGCTTCGGGGCAGGTAAGACAAGTCCTTCGTGCCTTTTGAAGTTCTCTGCTGTCGGGTAGTAGTAGGGAGTCTTTGTCGAGAACTCCTGCTCTTATCGTGTTGTTTAAGACTGTGTTGCTTGGATGTCCCAATCGTGCGTGCCAGGTTTCTTCGGAGGCGCGATGTCCGGGTGATCGTCGATACGTGTCGGAGTTGGAGTAGAAGCTGGCGACGAAGTTTGCGCTTCTGTGGGCTTCTCGTGGAGTTGGTTTCAACTGCTGTGCGGGTGTTGGTGGTTCTTCGTCGACGAGGGCTGGTGTCGTTGTTCCTGCTGCTGCTGCCGATGTTGTCACTGCTGCTGCCGATGATGTCTCTGCTGCTGTCGTTGTTGTTTCTGCTGCTGCCGATGATGTCTCTGCTGGTGTCGACGATGTCTCTGCTGCTGTCGATGTTGTCTCTGCTGCTGTCGAGTGTTGTATTGTTGCTAATGCGCGTGTTCGTTCTGCTTCAGGGATAGTATGGGAGTACCAGAAGCCTTCCGGGCTGAAGTCTGGATCAAGTTCTGGAGGGTGCGTCCAGTCCGTGAAGTTAACAATAGCGTCGCTGTCTGCGGTGCCCAGGTCCGGGACGAAATCCATGACGAAGACGTTGTTCTTCAGAACTGCCTTCCCGATGTAAAGGCCGCCTTTCCCGTGATATAATTTAAATTCCTGGGTGGTGCTGTCGGCTTCCAGGTGGATGCCCTTCGCCATCAACTGGCTGACGCTCAGTAAGTTGTAGCCGAGTCCTTCTGCTATTAGTACCTTTGACATGTGTAGTATAACATTAGTCTCCCTGGACTGAAGCTGTACCACTCCTTGTCATCGTGTGCGCAGATTCTGATTGTTGGCAACAGTGATGACGACCTCTCGTTGAAGTCGATGTTCGCGATGGACGAAGCGTCCCGAAGAGCACATGTATTGTCCGCAGCAACTGTCCAAGAACCAAGTATCTTTCCCGGATGGTTCACTTTGAGCAATGGCGGCGTACGTCGGATTCGGTTGAAGAGACTCGCGGCGAGGCGTGCTGTTGTCAAGTTGTTCTTCGGGTGAGTAGTACGGTGGTGACTCGGTTGTGCAGGAGTCGGTTATCTTTACCATGCAGTTGACGATATTCCTTGGTT